CATGCATGAACTTTTTGACGAAATATATATGCTTTTTGGGAAGTCGATTTTCAGTATTTAAGGACCTTATCATGAAATAATTGTATTACATTTGTATTTATTTTGGGCACATCTAATTTTAAATCAAAAAAGTGATTCATAAAAAGCATAGATTTTTTCAAAATTACAATCAAACTTTAGGAAGTATGATTAATTTACTACCTTTGAGTTTCTTCTTAATTAAAATAAAATAAATGTCATCATTTGATTCAGGCGCTGTGCGAATTGATTGGTAAAAGATCTACAATGTGCCATTGCTTCTCAAATTCGGATATAATAAACAGATATTTGTACATTTCAATAAGCAATATTTAAATTATGGCTTGAAAAATATCTATCTGTATAAAAATAAGCATGTTGATTTTCTTTTTTAAAAGCAATTAATAGGCACCTTGTTTATAATTTTTTACCTGAAATGATTGATTAATGAAAATAAAATTACCAATGAAAAATTAAAACAAGCAATAACTTTTAATTAACAAAGATTATCCAAATATTAAAAAAGATACAGATTCTACATCATGGCTTCAATAATTTATTGTATTTATGTATATTAATTATAGCATTGATCGTGCTCTACCTATATATTTAAAAAAAAAAATCTGAATTATAAAAAATAAGAAATGATTTAAAACAATAAGTCAGTAACACAGTTAATGCATCATTTTCTATCTTCAACCATTTGTAAGAAACTTACATTTTGATAGTAATAGGTTTTAATTTATTATTGGTTAAAATGGTCCTTTAAGTCTTAATTTGTTATTAATTTTTTTATTTATAGGTTTTGTTTGACCATGAGTATTACAAAAGTATATATACTCATAATAAATGCAAAAGACAAATACAATCAGTAAAATGAAAGAAGTATCATACAGATTTAGGTTCGAGTTCAAAACATGTATAAAGATTTCTATGTGATAGAAGATTAGATGTACGATGAGCATTCACTTTGGCAGAAAAAAGCGGTAGAGAATTGAAATATACTTGAATCTAAAGTAGAAATGGTAAGCAATTGTATTAGACTAATGTAAACAATGAAAGTACAAATTTGATTAAACAATAAATGGAAAATTTCAAATCAAAATTCACATTTAAGGTGCCTAACCTCATTATGGGATAATTTATAGAAAAAGTACTTCTCTTCATTCTATCAACTTTCTTCTTAATTTCATAAAAGAATGGAATCAATGTATTAATATATTTGCATATATGTATACATGTTAGAAAATTCAATGGTAAAATTGTAACTAAAACAATTAGAATAATACATTCCATTTTGAATGAGGAAAAGGGACACAATGATAGAAATTAAACACCAGTCTCAGAGGTTTAAAAGTAAATAAAAAAAGAAATTAATATTTTGAAAAAGCTTATTTAGTTTATAAAAATCAATAAAACAAAATGAATAGTCCTTCATTGTTCTTGGATTTTAATAGTCTACCATAAGTTGATTTTATTCATTAAATTTAGAATCTGTACGTTTTATTTACATTTATAATAACATCGTAAATGGAAAATTTAACCAACTAATAGCCTTATTCAAAACTAATTTGAAATATATAATACTGATAGCAAAAGTATTTAGCTGCTTAGTAAATAATAAATAATTTTATCCTGGTTTAGTTTCAATTATTAAACTTATCTTTAAAATTCATCTTTGTATTAAATTAATTATAATTTGTGTTTCTATATTTAAATGTTGTTTGTTTTGTTAATTTAAAATATCTTTGATACTAATGTTTCAACTTTCTATCGAGTTTCCTTAACATAATTTTTTAGTTGTTGTATTTATACGTAATCTTGTTACTTTGTTTGTCTTGCTCTATATGTTTTTCGTGTTTTTATAATAATTTGTATGCTACTTTTTTTTTATTATTATTAAAACTGTCATAAATGTCTTATTTGTCTTATTTACAAATGAAATGATATTGTTATAATTTTAAATAATAACAAACTCTTGGAATGTAATAACTAATAACTTACAGTAATAAACAAAAATCATATTCTTTTAAAATAGGTAAATAATATAGGTTTATTTATAATAATTTAAAATCAAGTTGTTTTCATTTAATAAAAATACTTTGTTATATTCAAATTTATTCTGTGTAAGTATATTTTTGTTCATCTTTGACCCTAAGAGGACGTGATACCCGCATGTGTTGTCTCCGTCTCACAAGTGCGTAACATAGAAAATTTAAATAAATATAATAAATATAATATAATATTGTAGATTAATTTTGAAGTTGAAAGTTTTGATTCAATGCAGAAATAAATACATTGGATTTTTTAAAAATATCTCTGAAAAAAACATTTTTTAAATTATAGATTTTAATATTAAGATTATATTAAGATTGAAAAACTTTAAACACCTTAAACAAATACAAAATGTTCTTTACATAATAAGCTTGATGCATCTTATTAATCTTAAACAATTTAAATTTTAAAATATTGTTTTTAAAAATTTATCTGCTTTTTATCTAGATTAATTTTGATTATCTTTTATCTAATAAATAGATAATTTTGGTAGGACTTATTTTTATCTTTATCTAGATAGATTTTTGGTCTATCATATATATTTAAATCATATATATTTCATTATATTCAAATTTAATACCATTCATTATACAGTGACCCACTTGTAACCTACTGTACAGGAGATCGGCAATCCACTACCCCGTTTTTTTAAATAATTTTAAATGTAAACCTACAATTAAGTATTACGTGGTTTATTAACATTAACATAAAAAGTAAGTAAGATAGGGTAAATTATGATTTCACCAACACGGCAAAAAAATACTAACATTTCTTAAAAAAAAAAAAAACTAAAAATTCCTTTGGAAGTAATCCAAATTTTTACCTAAAGTTTTAATGCATATACCGCTACATAGAATAATTTAATGAATCGGCATCTTAGCGCACCAGGTGGACATTTGCCGCATCAAATGCCGTAAAATAAAGATGCAAACATTTCTTAATCAACGATAGGATGTGAACATAGATAATATGTGCAACGCACTCACAAAATCGGCAATGCAGGAAATGCACACGAGTATTGTCAGTACAATAAATTGAACATAAAACAGTGCACTAGTGACCAGTTCACTAAATATTGATTATTGGTGCAAAAAGTAGGTCAAACCACAGATATATAAAAATACAAGGTAGTATCCCAGTTTTATTTATTTGAAATATTTTAAGATTATTATTATACTAGGTAGTATACCAGTTTTGTTTTATTGATTTTAAATATAGTATTTCAAAAATAATAAATGGATGTAAAATTTTTAATTAATGCAGATTGTTTTTAAAAATATTTTACAAACGAACAAATTTTTATAAGATAATGTAATATTCACATGCACCATTACATAATTTACATAGCTATTGAATAAGCTAAAAGTGAATAATATGTATTTAAGATTTATGTAAGTAAGTCAAGTTATTAACATCATGAACTACCATACAACTTTAAAGTTTAAACTTATAGTTTATAATATTAATAATCATATTATGACAAATTGATAACAATAATATCTTTATCAGTGTTATGAAAATGTAAACATTCACCTCTTAGATAAGAGAATTTCGGCCACGGACTAAGATATACAGGACTGGACACGACAAGGTTGGAGGGTGTGTGGGGGTTGACTACGAAATGTTTTACAACAGGCAGTGTTCGGGGGGATATTTTCCTTTTAGCATTAGTAGCGCCGTCCTAGTGGATACTTATGGAACTAGAACACATCATACAAATTTCTAGTTCCATAAGTATCCACTAAGACGGCGCTAGTAATGCTAAAAGGAAAATATCCCCCCGAACTCCGCCTGTTGTAAAACATTTCGTAACCACAATATTCATCTCGTGTCCAGTCCTGTATATCTTAGTCCGTGATTTCGGCCATTTTGTTGGCTTCGAAAACATTTCCAAGTTGTCTATTTAGTATTTTTATACAATGTCTGTGACCAACTCGGATACTCACTCAGTAGCACAGATATATACAATAACTAGATAGCTAACTATCGTAACAGTCGGAAGTCAACCGCCATATGCGTGGTAGTCAATGTTTACATTAATTATTGTTATCATTTCTTATCACTATGAAATACAATATATTAAATTAAATTGTTATTACTTATTACTAATAATAATTAATAAGTAATTTATTTAAATATAAAATAAAATTGTTAAGTACGTATAAGTATAAGTAGTATAACAAATATATAACTATATAATATATAATATTATATAAATGTATGAACCACGGAAAAGAGATTAAACAAGTATAACCAGGTAAAAACTATAAGTGGGTACTCGACCAATATAATACATTTTCACAATTAAGTGTCTTAAATATATTACGATCAATCACAAATTTATTATTGACAAGTGCAATTATTTTATTTTCTAAATTTGGTATATTTATGTTTTTCAAGTTATCAGTTAGAAGCAAAAAGAAATGTTCTGCGGCATATTTAATTAAGTACTTAAAAATCACATAAAACAATTTTTTTTATGAAAAATGAAAATTATATTAGCAATAATTGACTGTACATAATACAAAGATGTATGCAATAAATTATTGATATAATATCTGTACAATAATATGATGATAAATTCGAATTGATAAAGTGATAACAAACAAAAACATTGACTACCACGCATATGGCGTTCGGCTTCTTAATCATAGTGCGTCAGATATAATCAGTTAGCTATCTAGTTATTGTATATATCTGTGCTCAGTAGCACAGTTATCTAATGTCTTTGAATACCACACGGACTAAAGACAATAACATCATACTTATTCGTGAAATGTGTTTGTCATTCATGAACCGTGATAGTTATTGATTGTTCATTGTCTTGGCCCGTGCGTGTCGTATCATTTTGGAATCGTTTTAAAATTACGTGGCACGTAAACCCACATCTGTACTTTAACTATTCAAGACGGATTGCCTGCACGACGATGGCCGACGGTGAAATGGGAATATTTAGACTGTCCAAGTTGGCGTTCCACGCCATCCCCAACTTCCAGCTTCAAAAGTATTACGAGTTGAATGTACCATGCATCGATCTTCAAGAATGTTGCCGGTCGCTGTTAAAAATTGTCAAGTTGAACACCGAAGGCGGTTACTTTGACCCGAACGGTGACAGGCTGTCCATGTTCGACAAGGTGAAGTCCATCAGCAAACACAAGTTCGAATACATATGCACAACAGCCGTAGGTTACGGTCACCTCGATTGTCTTCAGTTCGCCCACAAAATCGGATGCAAATGGGACAAATTTACGTCCGCCAGGGCCGCGGGTACCAGTTTGGAGTGTTTGATGTACTTACACGCCAACGGGTGTGAATGGGATCAATCTACGTGTACTCAAGCCGCTACATCGGGGATGTTGGAATGTCTCCAGTTTGCACACGAACATGGATGTCCGTGGACTGAATCGACGTGCTCCGAAGCCGCATATTTAGGTAAATTGGACTGCCTAATGTATGCACGGGCCAATGGTTGTCCTTGGGACGAGTCGACGTGCTCCAAAGCCTGCCTTAGTGGGAACTTGGAATGTCTAAAGTTTGCTCATGAGCATGGTTGTCCTTGGAGCGAATTGGTAATAACCGACGCCGTGGTCAATGGCAAACTTGACTGTCTAGTATATGCGCGAAACAACGGTTGTCCATGGATGGAACAGTTTCTATGCTTTATCGCCGCAGCGAATGGAAAACTTGATTGTTTGCGTTTTCTTCATGAAAATGGTTGTCCATGGAATACATATACGTGCGCCATAGCTGCAGCGCATGGGCACTTGGAAGTTCTTGAGTACTTACATGAAAACAATTGTCCTTGGGACACATTAACGTGTAAGTTGGCTGAACAGTTTGATGAAATTGAATGCTTGGAATACGCTACCTCACATGGATGTCCATGGATCAAAAATTCATTAGTTAATGACTCGTAATGAGCAAAGAGGCTGGAACTTTGGAACTCCTGTTACCGTGGCTCGGACTGTACACAAAAAGATAATTGATCGAGTCCTTGACTGAATTGGGAGCTTTTCTGTTGTAAATTAACTTGTATAGGTACTATATTTAATTAATTATTATGCTTGTCGATTGAGATATTTTTATTACCTAGTTTCTATATTATGTACCCATGTCAAGATTTAATGAGTAAAAAAAATGTTAAGTAGGTAACATTCCCCTAGGAATGTAGGTTCCCCTAGTTATGTAATATTGCAATGTATATTTTAATTTTTGAGGTTTATAATATTATGATAAGTAGTTACTTATCCAATATCTTGTACCTATTATTATAATTTCGACCAAACACAATTTTGTTTACCGTAGTATTATTCACATACATAAATGCATGCGCACATGCAAGATTCTCTGCTACTGTATACTTTCAAATTTGTATCATATTTAATTATATTTTAAATACAATTTTTATATTTTGCAAATTGTGTAATATAACATTTTGTACGAAATTACTAAGACTCAGAATTTTTTAAGTTTTGATAGAGAATGTATTATAATTGTTTCAATAATGGTAACAAGTGTTATTCTTGTTATAGCATCGTTTCAAAACATGAAATTCTAGTGACAAAATTTGTTCTAAGCAAATGATTTCATAGTATGTAATAATATTAATCTTCATTAATTATTATTTTTTTTTTTTGTATTGATATTGTATTAAATAGTGTTTAATGGATTTTGAAAAATATAAAGAAATATGAAGGCCTGTGCATGCATATTTTAATATTTATGTATAATTTTAAAATCTCAAATAACATAAACAAAATTAGTGTTTAAAGGTTTCAATCATTGAATATAGTACAATACTTCAAAAGTAATAATCATTTAATGAAACTAAAGTAAGTATTTATATAAATTCAGTAATAGGTAGTTGATATCTTAATTAATTTCTGGTGTGTGGTGAATATCTCAGAAATACTAAGGAAAAGATTTTAATAATACAAAAACATCATTTTGTTCTTATTTTAATTTTAATTTATAATTATTATGATTTTTAATATTGTAATGTACTGGTGTATGTATGATATGGTTATTGGTTAAGATATAATTGAGTAATATTGGAATAACTTATAAAAATTATATTTAAAAAGCCATAATTGTGTTAAACATACACATTTAATTAGTTTATTATTTATATTTTATACAACATACACTGCATAAGTGTAGAGTATAAACTAATTATAAAATATATCATGGTTATTGGTTATAAATACATACTTTTAACATCAAAATATTTTACCATTGCTATATTGTATTACAACAATATATAAAGTGTCAATTAAAATAAGGTGTGAATTCAATTTAGATTTTTTAATCTTTTTAAAAAGAAGTTAAAATCAATCCAGAACACCAAAAAATAGGAATTCTACTAGCTTTTTTTTATGGGAATTTGAGTAAAAACAGTAAATCCCTACACAAAATATAAATTGGGATACATGAATACCTACTTTCATTATAAAATAAAATATAAGATTTCAAATAATATAATATATAAAATTATTTAACTCAGGGCTTAAATTAAAAAAAATATATATATATTGTTTGCCGTGTATTATAATAATTATATATAATCGCCGTGTATTGTTTGGCGTCTACCTACTTATTGTTATAATATTAATTTTCATAACTACAAATTGTGTTGTACTATTGGGCTCTTAGCCCGTTCATACATAAATAAATAAATAAATAATAAGGTGTAATGCTATTAATTTTATGTTCAATAACCGTTATTTGTTTTAAATGCAGTTTCAAAAACTGACATGCATACATATATTATTAGTATCAATTGTAAATTCATAAGAATATATAAGCAGTATAAAACTTAAAAATTTAATTTACTTGCTTAAATTCTATATATGTTTTATTCATAAGGTACATAGTTACATGAGATACAAACATATTAAGTAATGTATAAACTATAAAACTAAGGTTTTATAAATGTATAAAAAAAAATATATATATAGCTGGAATTTAAAATATAAATATATTATATTTATTTTTCATCTAAGTTTATCAATAAATAGAAGCAAAAAAAAAAGTACATATATACATTAAATACATTAAATAGACAAAATATAACTTTAAGAGCATGAAGTGAAGAATGCATTGTTGAATACAGTATGGGAAAAGCTTACTTTAATTAATTGATTCATTTTTTTCAATTAAATAAGCCGGTTCAAACTGTACAGTAAATCATTAGATCACAATTTATTTGTTAGTGACAGTCACTGACAAATTCATTTAATTGAATCATTAATCAATTCTAATGCGAGTTGTTTCTTATCATAATTACACAAAAGTAAATTAAATTAATACAAAACTATTTATTATAAGAATGTAAATATCCAGTATACAAGAAGTCACTATTTCTATTTTTTTGTTTGTATACATCAAATTTGACTTTAAACAATATAAAAAAAAATAAGCTTGTTGACACATAAAAAAGAAAGTAAAAAAAAATCATCTACATCTTATACAGAGTTAAGTAAAAATTAATAATCATTAATATTAGTATAAGATACCTACACACCAAGCATCTATTTAGTTTAATTTTTTATTTATTTTAAATCAACAAACCATGTTTAGTAATCAAAGGTGAGATATTTATCAATAGAGTAATATAGACAACTGGCTAGACAGTGATGTGATATATTAAATTTTTTAGTTGGGTAAATATTTAAACATAAATTCAATCAACCAAGCAAGGAATTGTATTTTAGCTCACTGAAAATGTAAATTTGGTTCTTAAATTACATCTAAACAGTTTCTTATTTTATTTTAATGTATCTATTAATAAGAAAAATTTCAATCCCCTAAAGAAGTGTTCAATTATAGTAAAAATATTTACTTCAAAAAATACAAAATTGTATTTTTCAATGTTTTATTTGTAACATAATATATTTATTAGATTTTGTAATTTAGTTTTATAAAATAGTAAGTTTTTGTACATCAAGTGTCATAAATAGCTGAAGAGGATTGTTGTGAACGAGACATCTCTAATATATATAATATATAATATTGGGACATTGTCCTTGAGGATAGATAGCTAGCATTGGTGCAACGTTTTAATGTTATTAATTATTATTAAAGGCCTAATATTAATAAGGTAGAATTAAAATCCCTACGAATGGTACCCAAGTTATTTAGTTGCGTCCTAACCACAGTGTTGTTGTAATATGTAATAGTCACCTATAGGCTATATTCAGCATTTACAATAGTATATTATAATAGTAGGTATTGTTCATTTTATTAATATTTCAATCGTCAAGATCAACAATCGTGCATCTGTGCGAAAAGCAAGATGTTATGTTGTGGTGTAAATTAATGACAATTTTTCAAGAGTAGACCTAGAAGTTGAAGCTAGATGCCCATTTTGTATTTACTCATAAACCTCCATGTGAAACCGTTAGTGATAACAGTTTTTCAGAAGAAGTTTTTCCAAACAGAATATTCTCTTAAATGGCTTGGCTACATGCATACACCAGTTTCCTGACTAAAATTGAAAAAAAAAGTAATACATTATAGGTATTTTAATACTAGATACAGAACTTACATGATTTTAGTTATAAAGGTTTGAATGTGATTATTGTAACTTGTAAATGGCATATTAAGTGTAACTTGGTTTTTGAAATGGTTTTAATTCTTTGTAGATACATTTTACCTAGAAATAATACACAGTTGTAAAACATATAATTTTCAGAATACGTAAGCATGTTAGTAGCCATAATTTATGTACGACTTACGATAATTTTGGGTGAACTGTTTAAATTTGTAATTTGTATACTGCACACAATAGTGAACAATGTAGATATTGTACAAAACCTACTTAAAAAGTAAAAAAAAAATAAATAATTAATAAATTAAATAAAAAATATCAAAATGAAATACCTAATGAATAATAATATTATTTATATTTGAATTGAACATAACCTCAATTAATTTTGCTGACATTTGAAGTCGTAACCATCTACAACTTGAAACGTGGTTACACATGTTAATAATTGGTTGTCATAATTTAAAATCTATGATTATTTGATAATAAAAATATTGTAAGTTGTATGAATTTTTTGGTTTTTTTATTCTTTTTGAAAGCTATCTATTTAACAACTGGAAAATTCGTTACACCGGCCATTTAAAAGGAATCTCCATAAAATTCTCCATCGAAAAACTTTAGATTTCACCATTTTTCGTTATCCTATTTGGGATTAATCTCATCCACAAACAGACGAGCACAATAGTTCTTAATAGAGTACATAACTAATATAATAATATAATGACTAAAAACACATTTTGATTTTGTGCATTTTTTACACCTTCTCAGATTGTTTTGAGTTTAATTTTTTTATGTTTAAAAATATTATGAGAAATAAGATAAAACTATTTATGTGTTAAAAAAGTTTTTATTTTTTAGCCATCATTACCTATCATAAAATAATTAATAATATTTAATATGACTAATTAAAAAAAAAACACCTATCTTATGTTCAAATATCGTGTTATATAAATATGTATTTTATGTATTATAAAATATAATTATACTAGATAGTTATGGTTATGAACAAATAATAAACACCAATGTATGGCCTTAATATTTTGATGCTAATTTATTACAAGAATAATACTTAGGTATATTATGAATATTATTGTATTTATGAAAGCTAAACATAATATCACTTCCATTATGTCTTTTTACAATTATTTAGTATAATATTTTAAGTATAAACTAAATTCAATGTGTTATATGTATACATCTATAATGATTTTTCTGTAGTTCAGATTGTTTATAAAATAATTCTCATATTCTTACATTTAAAACGTACTAGTATTCTTGGTGGTAATCTTATTAGAATTCTAAATTAAACCCAGTATTATTCTTTAAGCACCTCTCTCTACTATTTGGGTTTATTTTCCTGTAATTTAAGAA